GGGGTTCTCCATTGTCACCACCACTGATGTTCCTTTCTGAGTATCCTTCATCCACCTATTGGAAAAATCAAAGCTTGGAGCCATTTCCTCTGTGATGAGTTTGGACACAGATTCACAACTTCACACAAATGGCAACAGTTTAATTACACCTATACATACAAATATGAAGTACTCAAGAAGACACCAACTTTATAGATCTTTCATACTACCCATTAAGATTAAGGACTCAGATCTAAAAACCCATGAAAATGAGACAAACCATTTTGTGAAAAACAGCTAAAAATTCCTAGTTGCTCAAGTACTATTGAAAGTTGAAACCATAAGAAGGAACCCTCTTGAAGGATTCAGCATTTAAGAAAATGCAGACACATAAAAAGTGAGAACGTGAATTGAGTGAGGGTCTTCTTTTGTAGTGTGAAGGAACTCATTGAAGGGCCCCGAACATGGGAAAGTCACATCTTATGAGGGAAGGTATCTGCAGCTGTCAGAGATGCTAACATCAAGTGGGGTTTCATGATCCACTTCACTAAATCCACATTATCCCAACCAAAGTTTAATTTACAATATATGAGTTTTTATTTAGATTCTGCAAATGTAATCAAAATCAAAAACTGAAGGATGAAACATTGGAGAAATGTTTTGACCAGAAGACAGCACTTTCTTATCTTTTCAAGATAATAATTTTAATGTACACCATTGCTCTACCCACGTTAGGAGTGGAAGATTCTCACTACAACATTGAGTTTACTTATATATAATACATGATCATAAAGAATTTAATGTTGATTTATTGTCAGAGTGAGTTTTTTATATTATTGCTAATCACATATTATTATTATCAGAGAAAAATATTTCTGTAGTTAATGCAGACAAGTTATCTGCATTTACTTCCAAAACGACATCGTTTTGGGATTGAAAGATTATAAAATTATAATTATAAAGACTATAATAATCCTGAAATAAATTAAAATTATTAAAATACCATAATTTTCACTCCGAAACAACATCGTATTAGGCTTGATAACTTATCTGCAGTAACCGCAGAAAAAATGAATCCTTATTATTATTATGAAAAAAAATTAATTATAAAAAAGACTAATTAGCAGATTAATTTTTTAATCATGAATAATTAAATAATAATGATAAACAAAAATAATAAAATAATGAAGTAGAGGGACGAGCAAGAAAGCGTGCAGTGATTAGGGAGGAGTAACTACGAAAAAAGAATAATCTCTCTTTATCAAAGATTTATTAAAGAGATATCCACATTTTAAGATCCATAACTTTTGGGTGATTAAACGGGTAGATTTGCACTTTATAAATGGTAACATAACTTAGTTAGAAATGGAAGCTTATCTTAGGAATATTTTGTTCATATTTACATTGTCTCTATTTAAAGCACAACGTGTAAATAGAAGGGCTATAATATAAAGATAATGTTTAATATATAAAATTAAATTTCTGATTATTGCTTTAAAACTTTTGTGATAAATATTCACGTGATTTATAAATTGGTATATATATATTTTTTATATAATAGTAGTCTAACAAAAAATTAGGACTCTAAACCGCGAGAATAAAAAAGGTATACTATTTTTTTTGTTTTTTGTGGTAAGCTACTATTTTTCTTTTAGTCATATAGTCAAGTAGCATTTGAGTTAAACTCTTGTATTATTTTATGAAATTTAAAAAAAAAATTGTTTGTTTGAGAAAATAGTTTGATAAATCTTTTAAAAATATCTTTCGTTTTTAATTTAGAAAATACATTTCGTTGATGTGACTTTTGTTACTATTCAAATTTACGAGAAGATCACATTTTAATATACTTCATTGAGTATTCCTCTATGTATGTTGAGGGAAACTAGATTTTGTGATAATTATTGTTGCCAATATACTTTCAATTTTTTTAAGAAATGATATTTGATTTTAAATTTGGTCCTATTTTCAAAGATATCATTTAAGAAATACAAATTTGTTTAAACTCAACGAAACACATTTTCAAATATTTCTTGAGTATTTCTATTCTTGACTAAAATTATGAAAGTAATAACATATATTAAAAAATAAAGTTATTAAATAATACCATTGTCTCTCTCTTTACACCAGTTATTAAACTCTTTTAAAGTTTACCAAAAAAAAAAAAAAAACTCTTTTAAAATAAATGAAAAGAGAAAAGAGCAAAGAGTAGTACAGTACAGCTTTGATGCTACATCATAATGGGAAGTGGATATGCTGTAGCGCCGACATATAGGTTGCCACCAGAATTCCATATTTAAGGCGAATCAAACCAGTGTAATAAAGTACCACCAGCATTACATGACTCACTACTCCTGAGTTTTTTTACTATTTTTTTTGTAATACTTTAATAAACTAAGAAATATTAATTATTTTTTCTAATTTTAGTATTGGCTTTTAATATTTTCATTAAGAAAATAAGAGAAAATATTGATGAAGTGAAAAGGTAAGTTTGTTATTTATTTAAAAGAATTTGAAATTATTATAATTATTTATGAACAAATCAACGACAATAAGAGATAAGAAAAAAAAATATTGGAATAAAAAGTAACAAAATTATCATCGTGTATTTGCTTACGAATAATTAAGATCATTTTACATAATATTCTAATGTAAATAACATTTATTACTATTATTATTATTATTGTAGAATTCTTATCAAATTATAGTTGGAATATGTTCCGCTATAATTCTTATCGTAAGGCATGGTAAAAATACACGTTGTAGAATTCTCATCCTCCACTAAAGCAAAAAGGAAAGAGAAGATATTCCAAGGTACCAAAGAAAATTATGAAAGGAAAAAACGTTGTTCTTTACAGCCATGCACTCATAGAGTCATAGTCATAGCCTTAGAAATGGAGATTTAGAACCTATTAAGAGCATTATCCGGCAGCATCTGAATATCGCATATATTTTTTTCTTCCTTCTTTCTACCATTCATCCTCAAATATCAATTTTGGAGAATGGAGAGGTCATCAGAGGTGCATTAATAAAAAGAATTGAATATAAATGAAAAAAAAAATGGATTTTATCAGAAATGACAATTTCAACACAACCTACTAATATAATATGAATACAATACAAAAAATTTATATTCGAGTTAACTCATTTTTTAATTTGTGTCGTGTTCGTGTTGGTGAAAAATGACACAAAAAAATGTGTCATATTGTGTGTCAACCTACAAACTCAAAATTAATCCAATTTAATCTTCTTGTAGATTATTCGTATCCTGTCATATTGTAAACATATAATTTGTGTCTTATCGTGTCGTGTCAACCCGTATAATGGGTAACACACTTTTAGTTTGATAAGTTATTCGTGTTTTGTCATGTTGTGTCAACCCGCATAATAAGTGACACACCTTGAAGTTATAGATTATTAGTGTTGTGTAAACCTGTAAAATATGTGGGTTATGTTTATGTCAAACGTTTTAATCCGATTTCAAATTCGTATTGTTATGAACCTTAAGGTCACCATCCCAAAAGTTAGCTCAAAGGTGAGAGTGCTCAAGGTCTTATAAGCCTCACGCTAGTTGCCTATACAACCAATGTAGGATTTGTAACATTGTCATCGCCTTTAAGGGCCGACATCCACGACGGCTTTCACTCTATCGACACTGACCCGGTGGTAGCCCTTTCCCTTTTGGCGGCTTCACTCGTCTATCAATGTTAAATACAATAATACCCCATGACACCTTAATCTAGTCAATAGATAGCTCTTTCCGTAATTTCAACTATCAATTAAAGCACCAATAATAACGGCTGAACCCTATCAAAGATGCAAAAAGGAACAATGAGTGGATGAAGAGAAAAATAAACGTTTTTGTATATTCATTCACATCTCAGTACACCAACTGTTCTTGCTTTTATACAACAATACCTTCTAACTTTTTCCACGTAACTAACTCTCAACAGTTATACCCACTCAACAACTCATACACAGGCCAAAGAGTTTACCTTGTAGAAAGTTTTCCAATGCCTTATTTCCTTTCCCCGCAAGAAAGTTCACAACATTTGCTTGTTACACAAGAAATGCTTACAACACATAACTATTTAATAATCACAATTGAATCATCAAGGATCCCATTCACCAATTGCTATAATCAAACCAAACTCATATTCAAGCAAGTTAATTAACTTACTAATATCCTTATGGTCAAGGATCAAAGGCAATCCAAGAAGCTTTCAAAGCTTAGTCTTCTACGATCGGGTCTGAGGGAGGCAACCTACATGATTATACAAACCATGTCATCAACAACTTGTCGAACAAGTCACAACCAAAATATATATATATAAACAGTTCTACCATTTTAATTATGATGCTTGAGCCCCCTCAAAAAATGTTAAGAGACATAGCCAACTTTGGTTTTCTAGAGAACAGCAGACAAGGCACGACGATGAGGCATGGATGTCACAGCACAACCTTAACTGAATTAAATATGTAATGTGATGTATTCATTTATCGCAACTCTGTTGCTCGATCAGTGCATAAAATTATAACCTTGTTTGCTCCTGGTCATGGACATATCGTGTGACATGTCGTTACCATCCTGCATGCGTTGCCTTTCCATATTCCTAACTAATTGCCATCAAATGTAGCGAAGAAGAATTCATTATTTAGCACTTATGCAACATGTTTGATAATCTGTAACTTCAACATGTCATGTTCCTCTTAGCAACACATACACACATATTATAGTAAAACTTCCTTTATAAACAATTAATATTTATCATTTATCATTACTTATTTTACACTACCAACTTTTAATTTGGATATATTATCATCATAATCTCCATATTTTTCTCGCCTTTCACTTTTCAGGCTCATTTTCCTTTTGGGCCTAACATGTGTGAAAATAGCCCAGCCCAGTTCCCTTTGGTTGTTTGAAAAACGGTGATAACATGATAACAAAGGATGAAGGCTATAAATATAGCTTTAACCCTTAGATTGGGAGCGCCATTTGCCGTTACTCTTAAACCCTCTTTGCAGCGTTCACAATTCTCACCAAAAAGGTCAAAATCCCTCTTTCTTCACTCATCGCAATCCTTCAGCTAATGCTAATGTTTGAGATGAACTTCTCGTGACGATGATTCAACTGCACAGGAGCTTGTTCTCCACCACCACCACCACCGCCACTTCTCACTCTTCACCACCTCTACGTCATTTCATGGTGATTCATTTTTCTCGCTCCTTTTTTTTTTTTTTTTTCTTTGCTCGTTTGCATGAAAGTCAGAAAAAAAATCAAAATAGAATTATTGTTGTAAAAGTGCAATTTAATTTTCTCTTTCTGTTATTGACATATTGTGTTTCGGTTGGGAAAATGGTGTGGCAGTTGCAATTCAGGGTGCTTCAGGCTTCCCCTAACTCTCACTTACCGCATGCAACTTTAGCCATTGGCAACAGTGTCCAATGCCAAACCGTAAGGGTAATAGCAAAGAGCCATTCGCACATTGGGCTAAGTTGCATTAGCCATGGTTCTTCTAGGTCCATGGCATCACTTAGGGGTTTTGCTTTTCCCTATATTGGGAATGGCATTGGAAGGAGTTTGATTAGTGATGGAGTTTTCCCCAAGAGGTTCTCCTCTGTCGTGGCGGATAACAAACCGAAGAAAACTGCGAAAGCAAGAGGTTCTTGTGACTCTGCGTCTAAAGATATTAACAACGTGGCTTCTGGAAAAAGTTTGGGTAAAGAAAAGAAGGGATCACTGGTATCAACACCGCCTGCTGCAAGTGATAAACAGGATTCCAAAGTTACGGTGAAAAAAAAGCAGTCAAAAAGCAAGAAAAACAGCAAGGCTTCCGCGAGCAATTCGTCGCAAGAGGTTGCTGGAGCTGAAGTTTCTAGAAAATCTTCCAAAGGGAAGAAGAAATCCGGTACTGCTAGTGATGTTGCACCTAGCTCCTCGCATAGCTTAAAGGTTAGTAAGAACAGAATGCCTATTAGTGTTTTGTGTCATTGAAGTATTGAAACTAACACTGCATTTATTCAGAAGAATTCAGCTGGGAGTGCTACTGAAGAAATACTGGATAATTCTGCTTCCACGGAGTGCCAGTTGAAGAAGAAAAGGGAAAACTCTGGTCAGGAAGAACAGGCGAAACCCCCATGGAAATTTACACAGAAGGCACTATATCCTCCTGCTGGAAAGTCTGTGCTGGTTGTGGAGTCTGTTACGAAGGCGAGGGTTATTCAGAGATACCTTGGTGATATGTATGAGGTCTTGCCGAGCTATGGTCATGTAAGGGACTTGGCTGCAAGGTCTGGTTCGGTGCGACCTGATGATGATTTTAGTATGGTGTGGGAGGTTCCATCGCCTGCCTGGACTCATCTCAAGAGCATCAAGGTTGCACTAAGCGGGTACATTCTCTTACCCCTCTCATCCACTTGCTTTTGTTTACAGCGGCACTGGTTGGTTGTACTAGTATGATTGTGTGTGGTGTATCTCGGTATTACAATTAGGTATAATTTCCAGGGAGCTAATATTGTTGGCTGTTCAATATTATGTTATTAGAGTAATGCAGATGCATCATGATTACTTGCAATGGATTGTTTCCATTCCATGTTGTTTTTATGCATAAGTTGCTGACAACCTGTCTCCTGCTTAATTCATTTTACGTTATTCCACAGAGCAGAAAACCTAATTCTTGCATCTGATCCTGATCGTGAGGGAGAGGCTATTGCTTGGCACATCATCGAGATGTTACAACAACAGGGCTCTCTACACGATAATATATCCGTAGCAAGGGTTGTCTTTCATGAAATAACTGAACAATCTATAAAAGGTTCTCTGCAAGCACCAAGAGAGATTGATGTGAATTTGGTTCATGCTTACCTTGCACGGCGGGCTCTTGATTATTTGATTGGGTTTAACATTTCACCATTACTATGGAGGAAATTACCAGGTTGCCAATCAGCAGGGAGAGTTCAGTCTGCTGCTCTTTCTCTTATATGTGATAGAGAAATGGAAATTGATGAATTTAAACCGAAGGAGCATTGGACTGTGGAGGCCCAATTTAAAAAAGAAGAGCAAGGATCAAACGAGGACCTTATTTTTCCTGCTCACTTGACCCATTTTGATTCACAGAAGTTGAATCAGTTTTCAATTACTTCTGATACTGAGGCAATGAATATTGAAAGCAAAATAAACTCAGCAGATTTTCAGGTTATTAGCTTGAAAAGAAACAAAACTCGAAGAAATCCTCCAACACCTTACATAACATCAACACTTCAGCAAGATGCTGCAAACAAATTGCATTTTTCGGCAAGTCACACAATGAAGGTACTATAATTTTTATCTATTCCTAGCCTATTTCCCTACTTGACATAGTTGCGGCTGTAATGGCTAGGAATTGTTTTTCCTTTGGAATTAATATTTAATTATGTTTAAATTTTAAATATATAGAATTACTTTTATCATTAATCTTTATTGCCTTGGCAATGCAGCTTGCACAGAAACTATATGAGGGAGTTGAACTGTCTGATGGTGTAGCAGCGGGTCTGATAACATATATCAGAACTGATGGACTCCATGTAGGTATCACTTTGGTTGCATGAATATGGTGAAATGTTCTGAACAACTCTAGATGCATTGTATATCAATATATCATTAATTGTCCACAAAAGCCGACCATTAATTGTCCACTTTGGATGGCATATTTAGAGTTTCTTTCTGTCAGTTCAATAATTTTGTCAGCAGATGATCATCTTAATTTTTAACACTTCACTTTGAATATTCTTTCTTAGATTTCTGATGAAGCTGTTGCTAATATACGCTCCCTGATCATTGAAAGGTGACGTGCACATCTCCATACATCTTTCTGCATATGCTTGCTATCAAGAGTTTCATTTTTTACTAATAGGTTGCCTGTCTGTGTGGTAACCTCTCATCGTTGATCAATCAAGTCAATACAGAAGTATTTTCACAGTTTTATTGTCTATGTTCCTGCACAACTCTCCTAAACAAATTTTTTATAGCATTCAAGATTCCATTGTTTCTCAGGATTTCCACTTTTTTATTTTGTAATTCAAATGATGGGGAATCCTACAAATCGGAGGTCCCTTTGATTCCTTGACTCTGTTCGTTTGTCTTTGATCTAGATAGTAGAATTTGGTCTCTTGATTCTTCTGGGGTGTTTTCATGCATCCACCCCCCCCCCCAAAAAAAAAAAAATTCTTATGTCTTTTGTTCAGTAGAGAAACATTGCACCTTAATAAACCCATTACATATAAAGCTCCCTCTAAGGTTAAGTCTTTTATTCGAACAATTGCACTTAATAGATTTAATATCAATAACATTTTACAAGTGTGTAGGCCATTTCAGGTTATTTCCCTTGATATAATGAGAATCTAGGTTGATCTTCTAATCATAAGATTCATAACATTTAAAATAAAGTTTGTGGGATTGGGGTGGGAGTGAGAATGAATTATTAAAAGTAAGATTATTATAGACTCCATGAATCTCAAGTGCTACAGTTTTACCCTCATGGAAAAAAAATGAAAACTAAACGTTATTATTCGATATGAAAAAATATGGTCTGAGGAAAGAAAGTGTAGTTCAGTTCTATCCACATGCAAGGCATTTATTGATACTTTTTCTCAATGCAACTAGTAACTTTGTCTGAAATTGCATTATTTTTTTTGAATTTGAATGCTTATTAAGCATGTTTTGATTGTTTTTCTGTGCACCAACAATAATTTACTGTATGCAGGTATGGACAAGATTTTGCCTTGCGAAGTCCACCGAAGTATTTCAAAAAGGTGAAAAATGCACAAGAGGCCCATGAAGCCATTAGACCGACTGACATAAGGAAGTTACCATGTATGATGCATGCATTTTTCATAAATATTTAACTTCAATGGGGAACTAAGTGTGTCAGCTAACAGTTACTTCTTGATGAGTTGTCAGCAAAGCTTGCTGGGGTACTAGATGAAGAATCCTTGAAGCTATACACACTTATTTGGTCACGAACAGTTTCATGTCAGATGGAACCAGCTATCTTTGAGCAGGTTCGAATACTGAATTTCCTTCAACATAAAGTATATGAACCTTGAAAGTATATTTTAAACTAGCTGCTTTTTTCTAGTTTGTGCCTGGATGATTGGCTATAGATTAATTTAGTATTCAAAATGATGCCATATTTTCTTTTTAATAGAAAAAGAAATTTATTAAGGAGGAAGACAAAGGTATGATGAAAGAGGATAAGACATCCTCTCAAAAAAACAAAACAAAGATAGCAAAACTAGAACATAGGAGATTGGAACATGTAACAAAGCATGCCAACCTCTCTGCATGTCTGGAAAAGAAACACCATGAACCAAGGTAGTCAAAATCGGGATTTTACCTAAAATTGGAAAGGGAATAAAAAATCGTAAATTGTAAAATCGTAATACAAATCGTAGATTTTACCTGCACTCAAAAATTTAAATTTTTATATACATATGCTTATGTATAAAAAAAAAATTAAGAAAAATAGACTACCTACCACCATCCTTATACATTTGCATATAATTGTCACACTCTAAGGGTCTAAGCTAATAAATCATTCAAGTTATTATCATCGAAGAAATTCTGTTCCACGTGATCTTCAACTACATCATTCAAAATTGTCTTCATCTAAACTTTCATCATGAGGTAAAGTTCCTTCATTTTCCACAATCCATTCATCTTCGGATGAAACATCAGCAATGTTATATTCAACAATTTTTCTAACTTGCTTAACATCATTCCAATAGTTAAAATCGGGATTTAAATCTTAAAATCGGGACTTAAGTAAATGTCTAAATCAGGATTTTATATTGGAAACGATTTTAAGTGAAATCTAAATCGTTTTAGCAAAAATAAATCGTTAAAATCGGGATTTTAAGATTTAAATCCAGATTTTAACTACCATGCCATGAAAAAAACACCAAAGAGTGGCTAAAAAGAAAATAACTCTATCCCGGATGAATTCTAGAGTTGAACGAGTGCCCGTTAAAATCCTAGCATTCCTCTCCAGCCACTAACACCAAAGAACCGCAAAGACAGAACAATGCCACAAAATTTTACCCTCTGTGCAAGCCAAAACCTCTGAAATTAATTAAGAAAAACTGATTCAAATCCTTAGGGCTGACCCAATATTTTCCAAAAATTCAAACAGTTATTCCGAAGTAAAGTAGCTGCAGAACGGTGCAAAAAGAGATTTTGATGTTATATTATTTTTTTTTTTTTAATCTTTGACCATGGTATCCCACAGGCATTGGAATGAGACGAACCCCTTGGGCATTGTCGCAAGTAGGAGATCCTCTCTCTGCCACATTTTTTTATAGATTACTTGTTGTGACAGTTTCTTCTATAATATATAAATACATTGGTAGTGACCGCAAGTGGTCTAGGTTGCTGGATTGCTGCCTCTAGCTACCTGGGCTTGTTTGACAGTATCTGTGGTTGACTTTGTGATTTGATGGGTTGCAACTCAGGTTGGCTAAAGCCTTATTCGGGAGATGTTTCCCCCGTATTATTTGATGGGGAGGTTTACCCTGGATATATGCACTGTGCAAGCATATCAGTAGTAGCTTAGCTTTCCTTTGTGATTCAGGTTTCTCATGTATCTTCTTGGGTTCTTTAGTCAGTGGCTATTTTGGGTGTTCTTAAAAATTAGTAAAATATCCACTTTCCATCTCTTAGCTTTCCAGTTTGGTTTGTTAGATTGAAAAATTTGTTCCTGGCGACTTTATTTTTCATAATCATCTATCCAGGTCAACTAATGGTAGATTATGTCCGTGTTCTAGAGAAAGATCATTAACATAATTCTCTGATTGTTGAAATTACATTTGCATTCATCTGCTGCAATCTGATATTATTTTTAACCAGATATGTTTCTTAAAGTCCTTTTGATTTCAGATACAAGTTGATATTGGAAATGCTGATGACTCTATTATGTTACGATCTGCCAGCTCAAGGGTTGATTTTCCTGGATACCGAGCAGTTTTTATGGTATGGTTAGTTCCAGCAGTAAGTGATATGTGAAGTGGTTTTACTTAGCCTTTTGATGATTTATAATCATTCATGTACCAATTGATAGTACCTGACAAATAATAATGATTTATTTGTTTATCACTGTTATTGTTATTTTCTATGAAATAAATTACTGTTCTTATTACTAGTAATTATTTTGAGTTTAAGTACCAGTTAGTTGCAACTTGGAAAATATCTATTATAGTTAGATTTCAAATTCAAAACTTTTTTGTAAAAATAATTTTTAAAGTTCTGCTATATGCTACAAGTATATGTCTGCTATCTAAAATCATGTTTTAACCTTGAACAAGATCTCATAAACTGAAGCGTAAAATGTTTGGAAAGATTTTCCATCTTTTTTGCTATATATATGCAGAGGTTACTCCAGAGTTTCCATATCCCAAAAGAAATATATATTAAAGTAAAGTACGTAGATGCATGTGGTTCTGTTTTGTGTGCATTGCTTGATAAAAGAGACATTAAGGATTTAGTGTTAGTCATATTTGAACTCAGATTGCATTTGGTCCTTTCTGTAATATTATGAACGATTGGGATACATTTTTTTTCTGGGCATCCTTGCTTCAAATTTATATTTTTGTTAAGTCAACTCTCCTAAAGTCTAAGCTGTCTGGTAGAGGTGTAGACCCAGGAATGTATTTGTATCTCTATCAATTTCTGCTGTGGTAGAGAATGTCCACATGTTCCTTTATATAACTAGACCACAGAAACGGATGTGTTTCCCGACTTATGTGTAGTTTTCCCCCACTTCTAGGACATTGATACTGAAGCCATTCAAGACAAAGACGGTGATGGATCCAATCGTGATCAAGCTTTTGGGGTTCTAAATTCTTTAAAGGTAATCTTTTGGGGAATTTGATATTTCTGTTTATGCTATTGATAACAATTTCATGCCTTCTCCACGTATGTGGCAGTCTCTGCCTTTTCAGTTTATTTGGATAGGATGCTGTTCTTGACTTCCTAATGGTGCTTTTCCATTGGTTTTATCAAAAGTGTGGCCTTACACAGATGTATAGACAGACCCGTGAGGGCCTTGTAATAATGTCTTCCTTTTTTCTTGTTTTCTCTTGTTGGGGAAAACCAACTCTCTTAAAAGCTTATATTATTGGGTGGAAGCTCAAGAATAGTTTTATATCTTTAACCTTCCCCTCACACAAGAGTCCTTTGGGCTTAAAACATGAACTATGTGCTAGCCCATTTTACCTTTTGCTGAAATTTAGCTTTATTTAGAATGGAGGTGACAATGATCAATCTTGACCACTTATTCCATGGAGGGATTTCGATACCATTTCAAGGATCACTTTTTCTAAAACGTAAGCTGTTAAGCGGAGGCTTCAGATTTTAAAGCCTTTTCCCTTTGCTAATTCTTCTCGCCTTGCCATAGGCTAACTTTTCTATGTCTCTGTTTTATTTTTTCAATCTATAAATTCCATTCATGATGCTGAAAGTTGTGTCACTCAACAGGATATGGGCATATGCCATTGGAAAAATAAGACTGATTCCTGATTGTTTTCTTTTTTTTTTACATAATTAAGCTTGATTTATGGCTGAGCATTTGTATTAATGCCATAAACTATGCAACTACATTTGTCGTCATTGACTTTTATTTTATAGACAGGGGATCTGTTACATCTTGTTCAAACTGAAGTTAATCAGCACCATACTCAACCACCTCCACGTTACTCTGAAGCATCATTGGTAAGTCGTCAAGTTTTTTCATTGAGATTATTGGAGTACTATAGACCGTAAGTATGCTGCTTTAAGTTGGTGCTGCTTTCTTGTCGGTCGTTGAAGTAATGCCCGATATTGGAAATCCTAACAATGGATTTTGTTAATAAAAGGGCAAACCCCAATGAACAAGGCTCCCTAACTTGCGAGGGTAGGGGTGAGGCTCGATTGTAACCTTACCGTTGCTTTAAGGCTCACTCTCAATGGGTATTGTTAAGAGAAGTTGCATTTTACCACACTTGGAAATGTGTTAAATACAGCATTTGAACAGTGCTGTTGTTAGGTTTAGAAATTTAGGTTTTCATGTTAGCTAAATGTGTTTAGGTCAATTGAAATAGTGTGTAAGTTAACAAATTTTCAATTGATTGATTCGTGTTATAATTTCTTGATTCAAGGCTTTTGTCAATTATTGCATTAATTCGGTGGCATGCAACATATTGAAAAGACCATTGACCTTTTTTTTTTTGTTTTCCCGTATCTATTTTTGGGTTCATCTACCACCGACCCCAATTAGCGTGGGTTAAATGTGCTGTTGATGTTGATATTCTTGGTATCTTTGATACTACAATGTTTACTTTTGTGAAGGATATTATTCTAACCCTTCCATTAGTTGAATAATCTTAGCTAATGAGCTTTACCTATTGCGTTTAGTTGAACTGTTGAAGTAATACCTGGTTCAGTTCAATTAGTCAGGGAACTTTATATTCTAATGCTTGTCTTTTGTTTCCTTGTAATTTTTTTTTTTAATTTTTTCTTCCAATAATGTTGTTCTTTTATGATATTTTTCCTTTAGGGGATGTTTGATATGGAGATTGTTTTAGAAATCCTAGGAAAGTGGGGTGGGGCAAATTTTTTTCCAATGTTTGGTATGAGGAAACTAAAAATATTCCTGGGAAACTTTTTTTCCCATCATTTCAGTCTTAACTCAGAATCCCAAACGAAAATACCATTTGATATATAGTATATTTATTTTTCCATAGCATCAGTATAATTAACCAACATTCCGAAAAAAATTTGGACCTACCAAACACCTTTCGTAACTTACCCGGGAAAAAAAATTTCCCACCATATTCCTAGAAATCTTTTTTTCGTAGTAAAAAAAAAATATCACCTCTACCAAACGCTCCCTTATAGTACAATATTTTTCCTTGTCTTTTGTGCTGGCAAAGAGGAAGGCATCGAGCTTTCATTTCTTTTGCACTGTTTCTTTTGTGTTTTCTTTTGAGGTTTTTCCTTATGATATTGCATATTATAGGTTAAGAAGCTTGAGGAGCTTGGGATTGGAAGACCTTCGACATATGCAACCACATTAAAAGTTTTACAGGTAGTTGACTTGTGGAACAGTTGGATGTCATAACCATACCATATCTTATTTATTTTTTTATCACATTTGCCCATCAATTTAAATTACAAGTTGTGATTTAGTAAGATAATTATACAAGTTGTTTAGGTTTTTGATTGAGCTGAAGCGTTTTCAAGTACTTAGTCACTTGGGCTTTGCTCAGCCGCTCTGATCAATTACACTGCACCAGATCAGATATTGGTAGGGGCTGAATTAATTGATGAGTCCTTATCATCCTATTAGCAGTCCCAAATCCCAATGATAGGTAGTATGTGTATGTTGTAAGGTCTAACATTTGCTTGTTCCTTCATGTTATCTGATTCACCATCATTGTTGGCTTCTCATTTCCTGACCATTTGAAACTATATAATCAAAGAAGTGTTGCTGTAGGTCTCTGGCCATTTTAGATAGCTTAAGAAGGCTGTGAAACTGAAGAAGCGACTGTAAAGCTAGAAGTGTTTTTTATATACACCTGAAGTTAATAATTCTCATTCATTCTGCGTAACTAAAGAACTTAATATATAATAGAAACCTTAAGGAAATAACAAGCCAATCCTCATGATAAATCCATAACTAAAATAAAAATTCATCAATCAATTCATACATATCATGGTTTGTGACTTCTAGTATTTGTTGAGCTTGTGATTCAGCTATTGTTCTCCATTGAAACAATTAGTAATTTTCCAATTATAATCGAGAACCTGATCTCGAATATGCAAAAACATCCTATTTTTTTAGCTCTTCTCCCTCTCTAAACTAGATATAATGGCTTTGTGGGATTGTCTTGTTACTGTTGTCTCTTTTATGTTTACTGTATCAAGCATGGAAATCCACGCTTATATAATAAATTAGAGTCCTCACACTTGAGGGTGAGATAATATCTTTACATACCCTCTTTTTTCATTAAAAACGTGCCTTTTCCTTGAAAACCACACATCCTTTCTTCTACTTTATTATTAATACTTCTAATATTTAATACTCTCAATTCACTGTCGTATTTTTCTCCTTATCAATTACAAAATAAAATTCTGATTATTTTCTATTTATCTCCATAATCTAATATTGCTTAACCTACTTGAATTAATTATGCATATCCTTTATAATTTTAAATGTTTTTTTTCTCTTAGATATTTTTCTCTCTTAATTTATTTTTTATAATTTACCTGAATATAAAAATTCGCACGCAATACATGAGATATTTGCTGGTTTTATGGACATGGATGCATTTACTTTTAAATATCAGTTTGAAACAATTCTAAGACCTCAATTGTTTGTTGCCTCAGGATAGAAATTATGTGACAGTAAAAAGTCGTGTTCTTTCTCCAGAATTTCGTGGTCGCATGGTAAGCTTTGAGCTTTTAAGTTTTGAATTTAATGTTCTGCAGGGATGAAATAATAGTTATATTAATATATTATTTAAATAATAGGTTTTATAATTCTCATTCAACATGAGAATTCAAGTTTTCCTACACACCCTTCGATTTCCGTGTTGACATGGGTCCTACGTATAATTTTTTCTAACACATGGGTCCCACATGCTTTTTATCTCTACAACATGAGATTTCAATTCTCATTCAACATGAGAATTATAAAACCCTTAAATAATATGCCCCCTACGAAGACCTCAAATAATGTCATTCCTGCAATTGTCAGCATGAGGTTATAGAGTCAACTGATTTTTATCATCTCTTTCTTCAGTTTTTTCCTTACTATGCATACATTTTATTTTGGTCCTCTAATTTCTAGCTATAAAACCTATGCTTATTTACAGATATAGCCATATAGGCCCCTTTGCATTTTGTCAATCAATAATAAATGTGGTTTGTCTGATGTATGACTGGTCTCTGGTCTTCTTACTATTATTTCCAGTTTTGTTTATATTATTTATACAGTTTTAATTAGGTAAATACTGAGAATACCAGCCTTATGACTGTTTTTTATAATGCTTTGCCTCAAGACCTCGCCGTGGTTTATCTTTGCTGTGAGAATATTTTCCTTGTTGCCTTTATTGTATCATTCACCAGCTTTGCTTACATATACAGTGGTCTTTCTTGAACCCATAAAAGAAATCCAAATTAAGCCAGTTTAAACCCTTAGGGCCTGTTTGTTTTTAGGACATGTTCAGTTTCTATCTTCTGTTTTCACCAATAATTACAAAAGGGCCACTTTGTTTTCACTTTTTTTTCCTATTTTCAAAAAGCAAGGTGGATTTTTTGTAATTATTAGTGAAAACAGAAAATATTTCCTTAAACAAAACAGATCCTTATCTTGTGCTGTCCTGATTTCCATAAAGAATAGGAAATGCCATTAAAAAAAGAGGGTGAATTTTGCATCATATGCAGATGTGAACAACTTATAAAATTATTAATGCAGTCTCCTTATTCTAATTGAGCAATAATCTCTAATCAATGAGTCTTTTATTTTCAATTCCTTACAAACCTCTTCTCCTGACATATAGGGTAATGGGATAAATGTGCCTTTTCTGTTTCAAATTTTGTACGACTTAATTCATGCTAGGCTTGTCCATTGTCAATTATTATTATTATTATTCTCTGTAAAATGTGAGATGAGCTGGGATTTATGGTTAGTATTTTATACCAATTTTTTGGGTGATATTTAGGTTTCAGCTTTTCTGTCACATCATTTTTCAGAGGTCACAGACTACAGTTTCACTGCCGACATGGAAACTGAGGTATCTTCTATGATTGTGTGATTGTGTCCCTTTCCCACTTGTTCTCTCCTACGTATTTTAAAGCTGGGAAAATGTACTGCTATTGTAAACTTACTAATTTCTTTTCACCTTTCTAAAAAAATTATTGACTCCTTTTCTCTACTATTTTTAATTTGATTCTATTGCCTACTGTCTGAGCTAGTTGGTTGTTGTTGTTTATTATTTTGTATGTTTATTTCATGTCTCATTCTTGATTCAGCTTGATAATGTTTCTGCGGGATTAACTGAGTGGAAAGGCCTCCTTAGAGATTATTGGACACGGTTTAAATCATATTGTGAGCGTACTTCTAATGTTCATATTCACCAGGTTTGACTTCTCTCTTTGATCAAGGGTTTATATCTAGTGGTCTGAAATTCTCATTTTCTTGATATGCTGTCTTGGTAATGTTGTTCAATGCACTTTGTATGTTTGCATATCCAGTTAGTGACTATGATATTCTGAAAATAAAATGCTACTGCAGCAGTGTTTGTTTACTTTATCTACTCATGAAATTGTTTTTTCACTCACAGGTTGAGAAGATGTTGGAAAAAAAATTTGGGGAGTATTTATTTGCCTCTCTCCCAGATCAGAGCCGGGTGTGTCCAAGGTAAGTTATGCCATGTAGTGGGTGGAATTAGTAAATACCAATGACATGTTGCAGGTCTTTGGCCACATGAAATCTTACATTGTTTTGTAGCTATTTCTTTATTAAATTTTTTGTTTGGCATTTTCGGAGAGTGCTGGATTTGCCGCTGGTCCTTGGACCAGTTTTTGTTGACTAGCTTTACTAGTTTTGGGAGAAGTAAAGAAGCCTAATTCTTGTGGAAATGTGCAATCTATGCCCCTCTGTGGTGTTTCTAGTTGGACTGTTGGAGCGTAGTTCTTGAATCTTTGAGGAGATTTCTTTGTATAAGTAGATACTTTGTGTTAAGATTATGTGTTTGGCTTCTACTTGGCGAAAAGCCCATGGTCTTTTTGCAGGGGTTTCTCTTACAGAAATGTTGAAAAATTGGGTAACTTCGCTACATTGATGTTTTCTTTGTTCTCTTTGTTTGTCCTCTTTTGTCTCTCTCTCTTTCTTTTTAATTTATTGCAAGGAGGATCTCTTATTCTCCTAACTCTTTCTAATTATCTTCTCTTTGTCTTGATAATTTTTTTCTGAATTTTTTTCTTGTATATATATATATATATACACACACACACACACACACACACACACACACACACACACACACACACCAACTAGTTTGGAATGAAGGTAATGTTGATGTTAATGACTTAATGTTGATGATGTTGATATGTACACACACACACACAGAGACTAGTCATTTGTAACTTTATTCAGTAAATGCAAATTGCAAATGATTTCTCCTTTGAAGATTTTTCCTATCTTTACTCTCAAATTTGTGTAGACGTACTATATCTTTTACCTTCACATTATTTTAATGTTTAATGATCATATAATTTTTGTGGACAATTTTGAAATTGTTAGATATATAATTGTTCTTATGCCTTTACTTAACAACTTAAACTTTTGGGATACTTGGTCATTGGCATAGTTCAAAGCCTCTATGACTAAGTAGTTAGGATTTTGAGCCTTGCCACCCTCATTCTTCTAAAACAAAGTTGAATTTCAACTAATGTAAAATTAGCTTGTTCATTGTTCACACTTTAAGCCCCGAGACTCTTGTTTGATGGGGTGTGCTAGATATTAAATCATCCATGAACCTTTACCTAATAGCATAAGCTTTTGGGATAGTTGGTAACTGACATAAATAACAAAATTTTTGAGGCAGCAATGTCTACTTTATGTTAATAATGGTAGATATTATATTTGCTTTAATTTTTTTTTTAATTGTTTCCAAGTTATTTAGCAGATATTGTTTAGGATGTCAAACTAGCGGGTCAGGTAATGCAATGAGTTGTAAATAGGGAGGTTCGAAATAGCGCATTAGCTTTTTTAGGACACAAATTTCCAGAACATCAATAGCTGATTACTAAGATGACTTTGGCAGTTGGACTCCATTTGGTCATGTAGTCTCTCCTACCCTTTAAGTTCTTTGGGCTTTTGAAGCCAGCTGGGCTTGAAGCTTGAGGAATGGCAGCAAAGCAAGTTATAACAAGAAGTGTGAAATTGTAACATCCCGAGCGCTGACGAGGGCGGGGAGTGATCGCCGGTGCAAAGAGGCGGGGAGTGATCGCCGGTGCAAAGAGGCGGGGACAAGGAGCGGCTCCTGACAGGCTTCCAGTTGGGGGTTACATGCATGGATGAATCGAATCGACACCCGAAAGAGAGGGATTCCAAAGGCTGTACAAGTATAAGACTGCACAGTTTGGGATAGCTTATAAGAATTAATTGGTACTACCTATGCTAACAAGATGCATCTGCTTTTCGGTAGCCCGAATCGGAAGAACTCCACAGTTAAGCGTGTTTGACTTGGAGCAATTCTGGGATGGGTGACTTCCTGCGAAATTTTCCCGGGATGTGTGCGAGTGAGGAAAAGACACACTGAAAAGTCTCGTGTTAGTATGTGGGGATAGTCATTGATTCTTGAAGCGGTAGGGCGTTACAAGTGGTATCAGAGCAGGGCCTCTCATCCAGTACGGTGTGGTTCGAGGACGAACCAGGCGGAAGCTGATGGGCATGTAACATCCCGAGCGTTGACGAGGGCGGGGAGTGATCGCCGATGCAAAGAGGCACGGACAAGGAGCGGCTCCTGACAGGCTTCCAGTTGGGGGTTACATGCATGGATGAATCGAATCGACACCCGAAAGAGAGGGATTCCAAAGGCTGTACAGGTATAAAACTGCACAGTTTGGGATAGCTTATAAGAATTAATTGGTACTACCTATGCTAACAAGATGCATCTGCTTTTCGGTAGCCCGGATCGGAAGAACTCCACAGTTAAGCGTGCTTGACTTGGAGCAATTTTGGGATGGGTGACCTCCTGGGAAGTTTTCCCGGGATGTGTGCGAGTGAGGAAAAAACACACTGAAAAGTCTCGTGTTAGTATGTGGGGATAGTCATTGATTCTTGAAGCGGTCAAGCGTTACAAGTGGTATCAGAGCAGGGCCTCTCATCCAGTACGGTGTGGTTCGAGGACGAACCAGGCGGAAGCTGGTGGGCATGTAACATCCCGAGCGCTGACGAGGGCGGGGAGTGATCGCCGGTGCAAAGAGGCACGGACAAGGAGCGACTCCTGACAGACTTCCAGTTGGGGGTTACATGCATGGATGAATCGAATCGACACTCGAAAAAGAGGGATTCCAAAGGCTGTACAGGTATAAGACTGCACAGATTGGGATAACTTATAAGAATTAATTGGTACTACCTATGCTAACAAGATGCATCTGCTTTTCGGTAGTCCGGATCGGAAGAACTCCACAGTTAAGCGTGCTTGACTTGGAGCAAGTCTAGGATAGGTAACCTCCTGGGAAGTTTTCTCGGGATGTGTGCGAGTGAGGAAAAACACACTGAAAAGTGTCGTGTTAGTATGTGGGGATAGTCATTGATTCTTGAAGCAGTCGGGCGTTACAAGTGGTATCAGAGCAGGGCCTCTCATCCAGTACGGTGTGGTTCGAGGACGAACCAGGCGGAAGCTGGTGGGCATGTAACATCCCGAGCGCTGACGAGGGCGGGGAGTGATCGCCGGTGCAAAGAGGCACGGACCAGGAGCGGCTCCTGACAGGCTTCCAGTTGGGGGTTACATGCATGGATGAATCAAATCGACACCCGAAAGAGAGGGATTCCAAAGGCTGTACAGGTATAAGACTGCACAGTTTGGGATAGCTTATAAGAATTAATTGGTACTACCTGTGCTAACAAGATGCATCTGCTTTTTGGTAGCCCGGATTGGGAGAACTCCACAGTTAAGCGTGCTTGATTTGGAGCAATTCTGGGATGGGTGACCTCCTGGGAAGTTTTCGCGGGATGTGTGCGAGTGAGGAAAAAACACACTGAAAAGTCTCGTGTTAGTATGTGGGGATAGTCATTGATTCTTGAAGCGGTCGGGCGTTACAGAAATGTTTTGACAAGAATATTGGTGGACAACATGTGGGGACACACACGAATGTGATACCATTGGTGGTGATATTTGTGGCATTAATGCTGGTGTGCTGGATTGTAGATTTCACATTTAATGGCTTTTTCGTTGAATTTATTGAGGAGGATTGGTATTCAGTGGGGACTTTGACAGCTTGATTTCTACAGCAGGTATGGGATTGAATGGTGGTATATATAAGCATATGAAGAGTTCACTATAATAGCTCAGATAGCCCAGGGCCATATGATTTGGCCTTAGTTTTGCACTATACATGGGGTTGTGACATGATATGTCTAGTAGAGGACTTGGATATAAAGCTTCATCTCTGTTACAAAAGAAAAAGCTTCATCTCGTGCACCAGGCCCTCATGATGCTATATTTAATTCTGCCCCACTATTTTAGCAGAAGAGAATAGAGATGATAACATGATAAGTTTGCATACCTTCACTGTCAAAGTATCAAAGTGGTTAAGAGAAGTACTTATGGGTTATGAAGTTATGTTGATTTTTCCATCATCCATAACTGTTTTCCAAAAAAACCCACTGAAATACATCCTTTACTATTAAAATGGTACTTGACAACCTTGAGGAATATAAAACACATGAATTTGTCTTGGAATTTTACCATTATACTATATTTTGTTTTGTGATTATGCTGATTTAGTTCAACATCAACAACACCTTTATTCCGAACTAATTAGCGTTGGTGGCGGATGAACCCAAATGAGAATATTATGCTGATTTAGTTATTTGTAGAAAATGACATCTATGGTAGAATTATAATATAGAACTATGTATATGTCTTCACCTAACAACTCAAGCTTTTGGGAGAGTTGGTTCATGACATGATATAAGATCTTTTATGACTAAGTGGTCTAGAGTTCGATCCTTGCTGCTGCCATTCTTCTAATAAAACATGGTAGGTGAGCTTGTGTATTGTCCTGTCCACATTTCAAGCTCAAATAGCTCTTGCGTAAGGGGCCATATTAGAAATATAATATAATATAATAAAACCATTCATATGTCTTCATCCAACAACTTAGGTTTTTGGGAGAATTGTTTCATGACATACTATATGCTGCTTGATTTGTTCGTCATATATTCTCTTGATATCTTTTGATTGAACTTGTTTCAGTTGTATGGAAGGCACACTGATTTTTAAAGTAAGTAGATTTGGTGCGGGCTACTTTATAGGCTGTGATCAACATCCGAGGTGCAAGTGAGTATTTTACTGCTTACCCAGTTTGAAGATTCCAATTTCTAACAAGCTGATACTTTTTTTATGCAATGTTGTACTTGTTGTTTGCTAGTTTACGCATTTGGAAGAATGGTGAGTTATATTATTGTGTTCTGCTCGATGTGAGGAAATCATATGATTGCGCGCTAGTTTGGTTCTAATAATAGAAATATATAATAGGGCCAAAATCTATGGCATTCCAAAGATATTTTATGTATGTACGGCTAAAGGAAATTCGAGGATACAAGTAGACATCATGATCATACATAAATCCACCCAAATAAAAGAGAAGAAATAAATGGCTGAAACAATGCACTTGAATCCACATTTGATTTACTTCCACAACTACACTTGTTCCTAATGATTTGCCTAAAATTTTCTACTGTTCATTGGCTGATCTTCTGCTCCCTCCAAGGCTCCATCATGTAAATGACCATTTGACTTTAAAAAGTAAAAGGGTGTTGTAGATATAAAAGGAATAACTGTTTTTTTTAACTATTATGACTGATTTATTTCATACTTTTTTCCATAGAATTAGTACTATTTATGTAGTAAATATAAACGTAGTGACTACGTAATTATTGCAGTTAATTTTTTAATTATTAGGACAGATTTATATTCTAATTATTTCCTTAGATTTAGCTCTATTTTAGGCAAGTAATTATTGATATATGTTGAGATATATAAAACCATTAATATAGCCTCACCCAACAGCTTAAGCTTTTGGGTTGAATTGGTTCTTTACAATATATGTCTACATAATGTAAATATATTCTATCCATTGATCATCATGAAATATTATTTAGTTTATTTCCATCTTCTAATTTGCTATCGGAGTCTCCCAATTTTTTCCATTGCCATAAGCATTCAGTTTTTATTAAACCAGCCTTCATCGTTGGGTTCACTTCGCCTTCATTGCGCCTTGCTTATTGTAACATGATCCAATCCATCTTTCAAACCCACACCATTGGAGCAAGGATGCCTGGTGTCACCTAGATCTCTGACTGGCCACCATCTAGAGCCCTGCCACCAGAAAAGCCTTCATGTTCCTCCACGTGCATGTGCACCTGCTGTTGCATGTAAGCCACGCGTCACCATAGTTGTCACATTGTTGTTGCTTGACCTTGCAAGCCGTCACTCTCTCTCTTGGTATTCCTCCTTTCTCTATAATTTTTTCTTTACCATGTCTGATATTGAGGTGTGGGATGATGCGGACTCCCTTATTATAAGGTGGCTATGGAATTTTATGACTCTCTACATGTAGAGGGGTATCTTTTTGGGCATTTGGGACTTGGGCACCTTTGGGTGAAATTGGGAGAGATCAGGGGCTCTCCAACTCCTCTGAACCTATCTTGCTTATTTTCTTTATTTCATATTTCCAATTCAGTTCTGTAATTAGGGAGTTTATGGGAGAAATGTGTCATGGAATTTACATGTAATTGATACAGTGATTTACTGAATTAATACAAATTGTCTCTGTTTCAAATCTATTTCTTGAATATGTGCTTAGTTTGTTACAGATACCCCTCTACATGAGCCTTACCCCTAATATACAAGTCGACAGTTTTGCCTGATCTTCTGCTGTTCATTGGCTGATCTTCTGCTCCCTCCAAAGCCCTCTTGCAACCAAGATTCCACCCTTTCCTTGAGACCAGCTTGGTGGAAAGCCCCTTCCAATTGTCGACAGTTTTGCCTCAACGAGTCCATGCTCCTCAATAGTGTCTCACGCCACCGTGTAACGGAGATGGCAGCTGTGCTAAACCTGAAACAGACGCTGCGTTGCTCCTCATGTGGTTCCCAGCAGCCGTTCCCACCGTAAACCAAGAAGACTATGATTTGTGGTTGGGAAAAAAATTGAGCTAATGGGTCCATGACAAACCTGATAGGCCCACTGTCGTTTTCTTGTTCCTGGTTTGCCAAGTCCGTGATCAAGTCCAGCTTGTTTGGACCTTGCTCATGTTTTTTGTGCTCACCTAACTCATACAAATTCATGGGCTCACAAGCCCAGTCTTCCAACAAAATAGAAACATATGAAAAATAACCATTAAATTGGGCCGAGATTTGGGCTGAATTTAGAAATTGCCCTAACTGCAACTTTGACCTAGTTGGGTTTCTCTTCTCCGTTGCATTTTGTTCATCCGTTTCACGTTCATCCCCAGCCACCATTGTACTTGCATTTAGGCACCATGCACAGCTTCCGAGGTCCAAATCCAGTGGCTCCAGCGACGAGGGTGGGTCAATCTCTAACGCTTTTGAAAATGGTAGTGCCGTCACTTGCGTAGCTTTCTTTAATGGTTGGTGTCGTACTGATTTTTTCTCAACTTTGACGTTTTCATTTTCTTCAACCACCATAATATCAGCCTCTTCATTTATTGTATCATTCTCAGATCCCGTAGCATCTTTCTCATCCTCTTCTGTCTTGTTTATGCCATCAGCCTTATTCTGTTCTATGCTCGTCTCTTTGGGCATGGTCTCCGTCTCTACAGTTTTTTTCTTCTCACTTTCTTCCCTAATTTCTGGCTTCTCCAACACTAAATGTTGCGTATCAGATTCTGGCTTCTCCACTTCCTCCTCTTCCAAACAGATCTCCGGCAGGTATCGCTGTACAAATGCTCTAAAATATATCCACCAATTTGCATTTGGATTGAGGCAACTCCAGAAATTGTACCAATTAAAAGCACGACCCCTGAGCCCTTTCACTGCCTCTATTAGCTTCTCTTCTTCAATAATTCCTTCTGCTTGGAAATATTTTTCCATATAGATGAGCCATCCCCAAGCATCATCATCTTCATAGAACTTGGGAACTTCTCTTCTCCATGGCTTTCTTTTCAATGTGGCCATGGTCTAAAGCTACCCGGATCGGATAGCTCTGGTACCAATTGTAACAAACTAAGCACAGATTCAAGAAATAGATTTGAAACAGAGACAATTTGTATTAATTCAGTAAATCACTGTATCAATTACATGTAAATTCCATGACACATTTCTCCCATAAACTCCCTAATTACAGAACTGAATTGGAAATATGAAATAAAGAAAATAAGCAAGATAGGTTCAGAGGAGTTGGAGAGAGCCCCTGATCTCTCCCAATTTCACCCAAAGGTGCCCAAGTCCCAAATGCCCAAAAAGATACCCCTCTACATGAGCCTTACCCCTAATATATAACAAACTCCCCTAACAAACTTGCACAATGTTCTCACTTATTCCACGTCAGCACCCACTCTCTACTTCTAACAGACTTATCATCTAGAATATTCTTTGCAATATGTGAGTCAGTAGATAGGGGTTGTATCAGTTTGCAATAATTGTATATTCTTGCCTACTGTTTGTAAAATGTGGGGAACCTTCTCTAGACCTATTATATAAAGTAGGGCATAGCCACTTGCTATGAGTTAAAAACAATGATTTTCACTACCAAATAAGGGACCCTCTTGGTTATCAACTATTATGGGATAATCAATCGATAATGGATTGAGTTGGACTCAAAATGAAGTGTAGCAAGGATGCTTCTACTTTGACCAGTTTTGTTGAAAGAGATCGATATTGGAGTTCCTCTTCGGTTTGACTGAGTATGATCTTATTAGGTTCAAATTTTGGGCAAGGAGAAATTTCCTGCACATTTTGAGGTGTTTTACACTATTCAAGAGGAGCGGAGAGTCATTGGGCTGTCATGCTTGATGAAAAACCCACTCATGGGTCAGCCATGATAACAACCAAATCCATTAAACAGGCCTCTTCATCCATTTCCTCCAAACCTAATACAGACATTGGAGTTGTAAAAAATCAGGTCACACCAAGACCTGTTTTCGACCCTACAGGAAGGAACATATTCTTAGCTCAATAGGTGTGTTCAACCACTACTAGGGAGGCCTCCAATGTAGTTAATGAAGTCCCCGCACTAAGCAAAGATGGGTTGGAGTGGCTCGAGAACCTTATTGATTCTCTTAGTTAGACTTCTAGTATTCTTCTCTTTCTATAACTGGTAAGAACCTATGCTCTAAATCCTTTTATGCTTCTATTATTGGCTCTATTGAATCATGGGTTGTTGCTCACTCCTTTGCTACTGACCATGTGACTTTTCTTCCTCACAATTTTGTGGTATCATGATAGGATTTAAACTCTTCCTATCGAAACAAGAGGAATTAATCTGTATATTAATTGAAAAGAGACAAACGATTACAGAAATATTAAAAGAGCCAAAGCTCCCAGCAATGGTGATCTCCCCATTAGCCCTTCCTACTCTTGTAGAAACTGAATGAAAACATGAATACCCTTCTAAGGGAATCTTCAGACTATTATAGACAATGGAAATAACAAACTACCACTAATTCTCTCTCTTCCCTGCCCATGTAACCCACACGCATAACAACTTCGTAACCAACCATTACACGTCATCTATTCCCTCCCCTTTCTTTTTATTCCTCCTCTAATACACTAAAACTGGACCATTCCACTTCTTATGAATGGGTTGAGATTCTCTCTTTGCCTCCAGCCCATGAACAGCCTCCAGCCCATGATCCATTGTTGTGATCCTATCAATACCTGCCTCTATAGATTTTGCCTTGTCCTCAAGGCAAAAATTTGGGAATTGTCCCTGTATATCACCTGCCTTCTCCCATGTGGCCTCTTCTACTGGTTTGGTCTTCCAAAGGACCAACCATTACTCATGCACTCTGCCCTGGTCCTTAAGATGGCGCACTGCTAAGACAGATTCGGGTTCATGATTATGGGAACCATCCACAGCCAGTCCTTCAGGTAAACTGCCCTCTGCCACAACCGTGCCCGTAGCTTTTCTAAGTTGAGACACATGGAATACCGGATGTATGCGGGATCCCGCAGGGAGCAGCAACTTATAAGCAACAGCCCCTATTTTGTTTGCCACCTGGAAAGAACCATAGAAACGAGCAGCCAGCTTTGGGTTTATGCGTCTTGAAACAGAAACTTGTCTATGGGGTCTCAACTTAACATAGACCCAATCTCCT